AATCATAAGTGTCCTGGTCTTGTTTCTCTAGAGAACCCTGTCTAACACATCCTTGATCAAGCCCTACCAGGCATTCTATGCCCTCCTCGCCATCGATTTTAGATCACTTGTTGTTCCCTTGTCCACAAGAAGAAAGTAAAAGAAGTAAAAGGAAATAGAAGAAAGGACTAGGAGGCAAAGGACATTTATAAAGGTCTAAATACAGGCATGTACATATGTAAATAAATTTATATATAATGATAGGAATATAGATCTATGTACATATATTTATATGTTAAGTATTAAGGTAGCAGGCAGACATTGAGCCTCTCCTCAAGTACTCCCTCGATGCAAGAATGCTTTGTTCTATTAAACTGGCATTCCATGATGCTCACCTTCCCGACATGTTCACTGAAGACAAAATGCATGCATAAGCAAATGTGGTGAAGAAAGCTGATGGTGCCTGGCTATAAAAAAATATAGTGTCTGGGGTCTTAAAGGCTTGAAGATAAACAAGCGGCCATCTAGCTGAAAAGCAACAAAGTCCACATGGAAGAAGCGTACCAGCCTGTGTGATCATGAGGTGTTGAAGGGATCAGGTATCAGGCATCAAAGACCCAGAACAAAAAATTATATCAACGTGAATGAGGGGGAATGTGGATTAGAGACCCAAAGCCCATCTGTAGACAATTGGACATCTTCCAGAAGGGTCACAAGGAAGAGACGAGCCAGTCAGGTGCAATATAGCATCGATGAAACATATGACTTTCCTCTAGTTCTTTAGTGCGTCCTCCCACCCACTATCATTACCTCAATTCTACCTTACAAATATAACTAGACCAGAGCATGTAGATGGGTACAGATAGGGACTGGAAACACAGGGCATTCAGGACAGATAAACTCCTCAGGACTAATAATGAGAGTAGCAATACCAGGAGGGTAAGGGGAAGGTGGAGGGGTGGGGGAGAAAAGGGGGCACCAATCACAATGATCTACATATAATCCTCTCCCAGGGGGACAGACAGTAGAAAAGTGGATGAAGGGAGACAACGATAGGTGCAAGACTTGAAAAAATAATAATTTATAAATTATCAAGGGTTCATGAGGAAGAGATGGTGGGAGAAGAAGGAAGGGAAAAAATGAGGAACTGATACCAAGGGCTCAAGTAGAAAGAAAATGTTTTGAAAATGATGATGGCAACATATGTACAAATGTGCTTGACCCAATGGATGGATGTCTGGATTGTGATAAGAGCTAGTCCCCAATAAAATGATTTTTTTTAAAAAAAGAGTTACTTTCTAATGAGTATGTTTGTATCTGCTTAGCTGAGACCAAGAACAGGATTGTGCCATCTACTTTTTAGGGTTTTAATCTTTTCACGCTCAGAATTTTTTATTCAGAAGCAAGCTCCTATTCTACGACTGTTGTTCTTGTTGAGAAGTGCCATCAAGCCAGTTCCAACCTTATGCACAATGAATCTGAAGCAATGCCCGAACCTGCACCATTCTCACAACTGTTCCTGTGCTTGAGCCCAGTGTTGTAGCCATCGTGTCAATCCATCTCCTTGGGGGCCTTCGTCATTTTGACTGCCCTTCTACTAACTATGATACCCTTCTCCAGGAACTTGTCTCTCCTGGAAACATGTCCAAAGTAGATAAGACACAGTCTCACTATCCTGGCCTCTAAGGAGCACTCTGGCCATACTTCTTCCAAGACTGATTGCCCTTTGAACAGTCACTGGCACTTGCAATATTCCTTGGCATCTTGGCATCACAGTTCAAATGCAGGGATTCTGTGTCAGGCTCCCTTATTCATTGGCCACCTTTCACACACACAGGAGGCTATTGAAAATCCCACGACTTGGGTCGAATGCACCTTAGTCTTCAGAGTAACATCCTTGCCCTTCAATACTCGAACGAGGTCTGTGGTTGAGGAGCTGAAAGCGAATTTAAGAGAGTGTCGTTTATGTTGAGAAGCTCTTATGGATATATTTTGGAAACTTCGACTATCTTATTTAAAACAGATTATATGCCTTTTTCTTTTTAATGCAAGCATTACTTCCAAATGTAAGATAATGTGGAACAATTTTTAAAGACTAACCTGGTTTTTGCCTGTAAAGAGAACATCTTAAAATAAATCAACAAGTTTAATGGCTGGAGGATTATAGTAGAGTCAAACGCTCTCTCAAATGTTTAGTTTTAGAATGTAGTATTAAATTTCTGATAAAAATATAACCATTTCACTTCATTTCTTTTTTTATCAGTGCTGCATTTGCTGTTTTCACTCATTTTAAAGAAGATAACGGATAAAATGTTGGAAACCATAGGTAAGAGCTCCGTGCTTACATTTGTAAAAACTGTAACTCTTCTCATAGCGATGTTTGACATATGGTATGTTCTACATAGTCGGCTTCTATCTATAGTAACTTTATTTAAAACAAAATCAAGGTTTTATCCACTAGGGTAAAGTATTCATGTATCTGTACAATTTCATCTGAGGTGTAACAAAACACACCATTGATAAGCACACACTAAAATCGTAGGAGATTTTAATAAAGTGAATGTAAACTCATTTCTGAGTAACATTTGTTTCTGGAAAGCACCCACAAATTCAACAGTATTTTAGTTTTGGAAGCATCTCATTTGTTTATGTCTTACTTTTTCCATTTATTTATGATAGGCAAAGTGCATTTGAACCCATACTTTTAAAGGATAAAGAAAATTGAAAGTCCCTCAGCTGAATCCAGGTGGACAAAGCAGTAAAGATTTAAAGCAGTTTAATTTATACATGGGACAAAGTTGTTTGAAATAACCAAATTTTGCAGGCACGGGTGTTACTTTTGTTACTCTTCTGAGAAGAGTTTGAGAGAAACGAATTTCTGGAGAGATTAGGTACACACTTGGGATCATATGAACACCCCCCCCCCACACACACACACCCCTGCTCCAGATGCCTCTTTGGGTATCGCTATGGGATGGCATCTGGATTTCACTCTGGCCCCTTGATGCTCAGGACTGTTACCACGACAACTGAAGTGATGGCATGAGAGTAGGTGGCAGTGCAGAGCAAAGGAGCTGGTTTTATCATGGGCATCTTTGCTGGGACTTTGTTCCTGATGCTGTGCTGGACATGAACATGCATAGGCACACATTTCTTTCATCGCCCATTGTATTCTGCAGCCACAGAGCATAAAGCATCCTTGCCCACATAGGAGTGTCACTTAAAGTGGAAGACAAAGGGCAAATGCCCAGCTACTCACACTATTACCCTAGCCTTTATTCTGTTATTGAATTTGGACAGCTTCACAAAACTTGATATGAGGATTAATATTAGATTGGCCTTTTGATATAACCTGGGCAAGATGATGACCCAGAATAAAATCCTTTTGTGTGTATCACTAGTGGATATTGTTAATTTTTGTTTACGTGTATGTGGACTTACATCAAGCTCAGTACCCACTGCTATTGATTTATTCCAACTTGGTGACCCTATAGGACAGAGTAGAACTGCTCCTTTGTGTTTCTGAGGCTGTAAGTCTTTATGGGAACAGAAAGCCTCATCTTCGTCCCTTGGAGTGATTGCCAGAGCAGAACTGTGCACCTTGTGGTTACCTGGACCCAATGGGTAGTAATCCATTATGTCAGTGCTCCTTATCAATTTCAATAAAAACCAGACCCCTGCCATCGGTCAATTGTGATTCATCAACTTCAATGCATGCCTTACTTCCCTCATTTCTGTGTAGCTCTGGATTTTGTGCTATCAGTAGTCTCTTTGTTCATCATTTGTACTCTTCTTCATTACTGTAATGTGACAAATATAGTTTTAGTCGATAAGCCCTTTGTCACCCAGTCAATTCTAGTTCATAGTGACCTTAAATAGGATTTCCAGAGCTGTAAATGTGTATGGGAGCAGAACGCCTCATCTTTCTCTTGAGAACTGACTGATAGGTTTGAACTGCTGACCTTGCAGTTAGCCTCCCAACGTGTAACTCACTATGGCACTGAGACTTATACCCTTGTTATGAATCTGTTAGGACAGATGTCTGTGGGATCCTTTAACACAAGCAAACAAAACATTTTGGCCTCACTCATAAGTGTATGTGTGTGTATGCAGTAGCTTTTTACTATTGTGGTTTATTACTTGTGTTTGAAACTCACTGTGGTGAAAGTTTGCCTACAAAATGCTAAGTCTATTCGAGACAAACATATTCAAAACATCTACTTATGCAACTCAGGCCTCATACCTAAGGTGATTAATATATATTTTAATTGTATTAGTTTGAGGCACATAATAATATTTTGCTTAATTTTGGGAAAGACCCTTAAAGTTTTAAAAAGTAGTGCTTTTGAACAATATGCATGATTATGCTGTGTTTCCAAAGAGCTTCTTAATTACCTAATGTTTTACCTGTTAACATATGGAATTGTCAGACTTTGGATGTTGAGTTTTTTCTTTTTAAAAAAATCATTTTATTGAGGCTTTGTACAACTCTTATCACAATCCATATATACATCCATTGTGTCAAGCACATTAGTACATTTGTTGCCCTCATCATTCTTTTTTTTTATATCATTTTATTAGGGGCTCATACAACGGATGTTGAGTTTTTTCATAGTGACATTATCCATATCAATTTCTTGATGTTAGTTGTATTTCTAGTTTTCCTTATATTTAAATGAAAAAAAATTAAAGAAAGTGTTAGTGTTTGCAAGATCACAGAACATTTGACCTTATGAAAATTTTATTACATAGTTGTAAAAGTTGGCCTTGGAATTCAAATGTTGAGTTGGTCTTTGAACACAGGTTTTCTAATACATGGACTGTTTTAAAAATACTGTGTGGGTTGTGCATTTCCTGTGGTTCTTATGTATTTCCCATGTGGTTAGTAGAATGATGCAAAACCTTGAATAATTCCATGGGACACTTGGGAAGTGCCAATAATGATGCTGGAAAGGCTCTCAAGAACCAGAGAGAAGTCATGAAATCATTACAAAAAACCAAAAATGTTTGAATGGCCTGATCGGTGCCCTAGGTTGAGGTCTATAGCTATCTCAAGATAAACGAATCCAGGGTAAGGGCCATTGTAGTGTGGGGAGGAGGGGGTGGGGGTGGGGTGGGGAGTAAGCTTTGGTTATAGCTACCCCAAAAAACATACTGCCATCAAGTCAATGCCGACTCCTAGCACCCTTATAGCACAGGCCCTAGTGTGAATTTCTAAGACTATAGCTGTTGACATGAGTAGAAAGTCCCAATGTTTTCCCGCAGAGCAGCTGGTGGTTTTGAACTGCTGACCTTGCGGATTACAGCCCAACTTGTAACCATTACCTCACCAGGGCTCTGGTAGCCCCTCCAGTGAGCGCGTGCAAATCATAGACTTTTTCAAAATACCTTTGTATGTCATGTTGAACCTAAAGATTTTATGTGAGCACAGAATATATTGAACATATAAAATAGGTGTTAATCACAGTTTATTTATCAGGAAGGCTTCTGGCCATTAGTAAATTGGGGGGACCCTAACACCCTGAGTTGTTCGAGGGTCAACTGTCCCTCATCTGAATTAGTGTGTGCACTTTCGAAACAACCCTTTGCACATGGTGTACATTTAGACCTCTTTTCACACACATTTTCTTTTTATTTTATTATTTTTATTAATATATATATATATATATCATTCCATAGTTCCATCACATCAAGCTGAGTTGTAAAATACTACCACAATCCGTTTCCAAACATTCTTTTTCTACACGGACTCCTTGACATCGTCTCCCTTTCACACCTCCTCTACCACTGTACTCCCCTCCCCCCAAAACCCTTATGCTACTTGCTGTCTCTATAAGTGCATCAATCCTGGGTTTCCCCTACCAAAAATTGGAAAAACATATAACACAGCTTCAAGAGGGTGACCTCTACCGACATGACTCCTCTGAGATACACCCTAATATGGACAAGCAAACACCAAGCAGATTACAGAAGAGTTGAAGGTGTGAGGCACAGACCCAGAGGAACATCGAGCCCAAACAGTTGTCTTTGAGTCGATTCCAACTCAGGGCAACGGCAAGTTTTCGAGGCTCGGACCAATTAGAAGTGAATTCCCAGGCTCTCCTTTGGAGAGGAGGCTCTGGGTGGTTTTGAACCATGAAGCTTGTGGTTAGTAATCAAGGACTCCACCATTTGTGTCCCTCAGGGTTATAGCCACCCCCAGTTCACGGCCCCCTTTTTTTCTCTTGAACCAATTTTGTGTTCTTGGTAGAGTTGTTGTGGGTAAGTGCCACTGATCAGTGCTGACCCCTAGTGACCCCATGACGAGCAGAGCTAAACACTGGGTGGACCTGCTCTGTCCTCACAATGGTTCTTAGGTGTGCGCCCCTTGTTGCACCCCCTGTGCCAGTCCATCTTCTTGAGGGCCTTCCTCTTTTCTGATATTCCTCTACTTTACCAACCATGCTGTCTTTCTCCAGGGACCAGTCAATCCTGGCAATATGTCCAAAGTACATTCAAAGTACAAGTACATTAAAGTACATTCAAGTACAAGACATGAATTCTTTCTTTCCTTGCCTCTATGGGGCATTCTGGTTGCACTTCTTAGACAGACGTGTTTGTTCTTGAGAGAGTATGGGGTGGTTTTAGAATTTGTACAAGCACGGTGACTTAAAAGTTTGACATTGGCATCTGAATCCTGCTATTGACTCCTGCTTTCTTCCGCCCAGACAAAAACCGGGCGCTGCAGGCAGCAGAACGCTTGCAGGCCAAGTTACGAGAACGCGGAGACGTGGCCAACGAAGACAAATTGAACCTTTTGAAGTCCGTCCTGCAGAGCCCGCTCTTCAGCCAGATCCTGAGCCTTCAGACTTCTGTGCAGCACCTGAAAGACCAGGTAGGGTTTTGTTCACCCCAGCAGTCGTTCCTGGCGCAGGTAGATCTTTTGAAAGGCTGGTGTGTTTCGGCAAGGCTGGTTTTTGTATGTGTTGATGCATAGTTAATGCAGCCATTTAAAACCTCCAAACGAGAGATTCAGATTCACGTGGCGTTTCTCCCCCTAGTTATTTTCGTAATGGTTGTTGCTGTTTCCTGTGGATGGTATGACATCCTGTTGAAAGCTGTGTGGATGCCGAAGACTTGAGTCTTACAGGAGAAGGAGAGGATTAAAAATATGTGTCTGCTAGATGGCCAGAAACGTGGTTCCCAGCATCCCTGAACCCCGGTGTTCATGTGGTCCTGCTCCTCCCTCCTCCAGACTCAGGGATTCAGCACACTTTTAAGATTTCAGATAAGCTTGGATTTGCATGTAATTGTGTGCAAGGAAGGGAAATCACCTCTATTTTGACAGTAGAAGGAATAATTACATTGTCATCAGTTAGAGGAATTGCACATTCTCACTTCTTAAAAGAGTGTAAGTAGCAATTGCTTCTATGACAGCATCAGATGGTGATAAACAGTAGAACTTCTAAATGTAACACAGTGTTCTTTTTTTTTTAAATCCCTGTAAAAATTATGAGCATTAAAAAGGCCCAGCATTTATATTAAAATCAAAGCATATCCCAGTGACAGCATGAAAACGGAAGTCAAATGTTCTTTGAACTTACTTAATATAATCACCGTTTCTCAAGTGTGTTTTTTGAAAAGTGTTTTTAAAAATAGTTGCTATCCTCACAAGGTTTGAAGTGGATCGCATTATGCCTTCAATCCAAGTTAGTTCTCATCTTTCAGCATTAATGTCAGGGTTCTGGATGACTCACTAGCAAATATTCTGCCTTAAAAGGTTAAAAATGAAACTTGAAACTAGTTTCATAATTCAGTGAAAAAACAGCTCCAATTAAAAAAAAAGCTCCCCAAATGTGCCAAATACAAAAGAACAAATAATGGTATTGGTAACAGAGAAAGTATTTGTGTAAGATCATGTAACTTTTTTTTAATCCACATATTTTGATGCAAAGAAGGTAAACCAAGAAGCATCTTTGAAAATATTTTCCTATGGCCAATTATTTCTTATCCATTTTAAATATCATGAATTAGAAAAACAAGATATAAAAAAATATCTGTATGTAGTTGGATTTGTTCTTTTTGCAAGTTAATAGAAAACACTGGTTTCAGAGATTAGTTTTCTGAATGGTCTGGCAAGGTTTTAGAGAGACTAGCAGCCTGAACATATGCGTGATTGTGGTAAGGAGCATGCTTTAGTTTTTCAGAGGGCGAAGATGTTGGACAGCTGTTGCCTCCCTTTGTGTGAAAATACAAGGAGAATCAAAGAAAAGGTGGAACAAAAAGAGTGCTTGCGTTAGGTAAAACCACTAGCCTGGAGAGACCGCCGTGGACCTGTCCTGTAGCTGACCTCTGCAAAGGGACTAGCACTTGCAGGGGTGCCACACTTGCTGAATTGTCTTTTCCAATTGTTTGGCAGTCAGTTCCAACTCCTGGGGACTCGTGTGTCAGGGTCGAGCTTTGCTTCCTGAACCAAACAAATCAGCTGCCTTGAACTTGCCACTGACTCCTGGTGACCCCAGGTGTTTCCTGGTGGAATTGCACTCCCTCAGAGCTGTCAAGGGCAGTGATCTTTGGGAAGCAGATCACCAAGCCTTGACCTCCGAGTGGTTTTGAGCGGGAACCTTTTGGATAGTAGGCAAGCACTTAACAGTTAGCCACCATCCACACACTTCCTGTGTGCTGAAACGAGGGGACAGGCAGACGTCCGACATATGGGGAGCTTGTTATACCAGGTATAAATGGAAGGGACTGGAGTCAAACATGGGTAGTGGCTCCCGACTCCTTAGGTCCCATGCAGTTTGGTTGAAATCTACTTGGAATGCTATTGAGCATAATGTGATCAAGCCTCATTTTGTGAATTCTTTTTTTCCTTTCTTTTGTTTTGTTTTGTGAATTCTATAGGCAGGTCTTACATGCTTCAGAATTTGGCCTTTTGTTCAACTCTCTATAGAGGGGGATACTTGTGCTAAAAGGACCAAGGGAACCATCAGCCCAAACCCTGATTGTCACAGTGGCTTGCAGAGGTTGGCTTGTTGGTAAGCGAGCGCACTGACATCAAGTGGACACTGATTTTGCGTACCTGTGTAGAACTGCCCCTATGGGTTTCCAAGACTACGTCCAGGAGGAGGGAGCCCCATCGTTTTCCCCTGTAGCGGCTGGCGATTTTGAACATCTGACCTAGAGGCTCACAGCTCAACCCATAACCACTATGGCACCAGGGCTCCCTCGTATTTAAGGGGAGAGTCAAAGCTAGAACTCTTGTTTTCTTGCCTGGGAAGGCCCATTCCTCTCTTTCTAGCTCTTTCTGCCATCCTCTGCCACCCTCCTTTTTTTTTTTTTGTTTTTAACTCTGTAGCCTATATTACATTTTCATTTCTTCTGGGTGAAGCTTAGTTCCTAGAGCCCAAGAGCATACTTTTCATGAAAACCATTGACAAATCTTTATAGTTTATGAGAATCTACAGTTTGGTTTCCATTCTTTGCTCAATTTGCTCCATTTGTTTTTATCCAATGTTTTCTTTGTTTTGAGGAACAAACATTTTGAAAAGTGTGTTATTTTCTTCTCTCAATTTTTATATATACATATTCTGGATGTTATCCTGTTTAAGTTTTCTACGTGTGCACCAATTGCTAATATGTTAATATTTATAATTGGAAAATTAAGGTATCTGTGGACCAAATTACTTTTTTCATGGTTTATACCCTGAGCTACACACAGTTTTCTTTATCAGCTCACACCTAAACTACATTTCTGAGTGGGTGATTCTGTAGTCATGAGCGGCTCAAGTTGCTGTCTCCATCTTTGTTTGAGCCCTCCGAACCTCGCCATCATTCTTCTGGCTCTTAGAGATGCAGAGGGAGTGACTAAGGGGAAAGCATAAGGTCCCTGCAGCGTACTGGAGAACATGCTCATAATGTTGCATTAATGACATATGCTGACATGCCATGTTGAATTAAACCTACTATTTTCCCACTCTCAGACACCTCTCATTGCTTCAATTCAATAATGTTTAATTTTTCTAATTTGCTTTCTCAGTATTAGGACTGCCCTCAGAAATCAAACTGTTTCCCTTTGGCAAATTAAACACTTGACAGGTGTGTAACTGAGAGGGCAAAAAAGCCATGCCCTGAAGGGATGTGCTATTTAAATATTGTCAAAAATGTTAACAGGTCTGAGAGTATAATTGATGCCTCTGTTTAACTCTGCCACTTTGCGTATTGTTCTTACCGCCAGCTAAAAGGATGTGTGCTATTAAACCTGAATGATCCCTAATAGCACCAGTTCATTTGCTGTTGCATGATTCCTGCTTAAGTGAAGAGAGGCAAAAAGAACCGTGACTGGGTGACAATGATCTGTCACATGCAAATTCTCAAGTCATGTCCTTACTGTCACCTCCTCATCACAGCTAATAACTCCAGGGCTTAATGAGTATTCATGACAGAGTCCTAGCTATTGTGGGGGAAATAAACACGTTAGCAGTTTAAGAATAGAAACTTGTCAGCCATGGGGATGTTCGATTTGCATATTTATCCCAGGAACCTTCTCCAGGCCACCATAGACCCATACTGCTTTCCTGATTGCTGAATTGCTTGTGTTTAGGAATTGACTGTGGACACTAAATGGAATGTCTTTTTACTCTGAATTACATGTAGGAAAACCATGAATCAAAGTTACTGGTCCCACGAGAAATCTAGTGCTAAGACTTAAATATGGTCCCGGCTACGTATATGTTTGTCAGCTGTGGCCACAGAGGCTAGTTTGAACATGGAGCGACCAACACGACACAGATAATTCCTGTGGCAACAACAACTGCTTCTAGGGAAAGTGGGCTTCACGGCAGTGCCATGATGTTGACTTTGACCCTGTATGACAGAGCAGGACTGCTTGACAGAGTTCTGAGGCTGTCAGGCTTCATGGAAATAGTTTGACTTCTCCTTCTCCTGCCGGCTGGCTGGCTAGTGGATTCAAACCATTCTCCTTTTGGGTACAGCCTGATGCGGACTGCAGTGTTGCACCAGGGCTGCATACACAGACCTCAGGAGACAGAACAGTCAAGTGCACTCGCCATGTGTCAGTCCTCACCAGCCTCTTGGACTGTGCTATTCAGTGGTTTTGTTGTTGTTGTGTGCTTGATATTTCCAACCGTCTTCCCTGTTCACCTTCCCAGAAAAGTCTGGTGAAACAATGTGGCTGGCATGCATATCTGTAGATTAATAAGATATGTGTGAAAATTTAAGGCAGTCTTTCTATTTTTTTGTTTGTTTGTTTGAAATTTTATGACATCTCTTGAAGTAATTGATGAGGTACTGGGTAACCATAGATTCAAAGTTGAAAACCAATGTTCAATAGTCATTGGAATAATTAGATCCTTCTTTTTAAGGAGCTCTGGTGGCGTAGGGGGCTATGCTGTGGGCTGCTAACCATAAGGTGAGCAGTTTGAAACCACCAGATGCTGCTCAAGAGAAAGATGAGGCTTTCTACTCCCATGAAGGGCAGTTCTCCTCTGTCCTGGAGGGTCACTATGAGTCAGAGGAGACTTGGTGACTGTCAGTTGGAGTAGTGTGCTACCTACTGATATGTTAACTACAAGGGCACTCTCTCAAACCAGGCAGGTGCGGCGAGGAAAAGTTGAGGCCGCTTGCTCCCCTAAAACTGTACCATCTTGCAAACCCAAAGTGGCAGTTCTACTCTGTCCTGTAGGGTCGCTAGACAAGGTATTTTTTAATTGTTGTTGATGTTCTTTTATTTGTATTCTTGAAATGAAAACTCCATGGTATAAAATTTTGTTTTATTTCAATGCTTGCCAGTTTAATTAAGACTACATTCCAAAAGTAATGAGAGCAAGTTTAAGACAGTAAACCATGTGGGATTACAGATTATCCAAAGATAAA